GAGGGTCAAGATCTTGGGGCAGTTTCATGGTCCCTTGATATGGGCCCCTCAGTGGGTACTCCCTGAAAAATAAAACCTGATATTTACCCTCAGAATGGAACCCTCACATGGAATCTCGGAACCGCCGGCCTCCTGAACAGAAGCAAGACCTTCCGATGTAGGTGCATTCCTTGTTGCCCTAAACCCTGAGGGACGTTAGGGTTTAGGGTTTAGGCTTTATGGTTTAGGGTTTAGGGTTTAGGGTTCAGGGTTTAGGGTTTAGGGTTTAGGTTTAGGGGTTAGGGTTAGGGTTTTGGGTTGAAGGGACCGTGTAACTTCCCTGTGGCAACAACCCCCAGCATGCACTCTGCAGAACCCTGAGCCCTAAATCCCAAAACCCTGAACCCTAAACCGACTAAACCACCTCAACCCTCCGAGCTTTTTGTCGCTTGAACCCTGAACCCACCTTCCGGGGGTGCGTGGCGGCGAGCGCTGCAGGTACGTGGTGATGTGAGCCTCTTCGCAAGGAGGTGTCCCGAAACCCAAAGCATCCCCCAAGACACCGTCAACCCCAAAATCTAGACCTCAAACGCAAAAACGCAAACCTTAAACCCAAAACCCCAGGCCCCAAGACCTAAACCCTAAACTTTAAGCCCTAATTTCTCAACCCTAACGCCTAAAGCCTGAAGCCTAGACCCCAAAACCCAAACCCTAAACCCTCTGGCCCTGTAAGTCCTATTGGCCTCATCCCAACCACCCGACAGGCGTAGGGGTTTCAGGGCGTCGGACTCCACTGGCCGTTACCCTAAGCCCTAGCCCTAAACCCCAAGCCGTAGCCCTAAACCCTAAACCCTAGCAGATGCACGGGGCCCTCAACCCTCAAAACACTAAATCTCTGAAGAGAACAAAGGCCCTGAGTCTTTTCGCTTCTTCGTGGGTTTGGGGCTTTGGGGTTCAGGGGCTTCAGGGGCTTCAGGGCAGGGCTCAGGATTCAGGATCTACATGCTCACCTCCACCCTCCTAAAGACCCCAAATTCCTAAACCCTAAACCCTAAACCCTAAACCCTAAACCCTAAACCCTCAACCTAAAATCCCGAAGCACCGGACCCTCCGAGTTTGCTTGATGTCCGGTCCCAATCAGGACCCGTGGTCTGGTTCAGGGTCTAGGGTCTAGGGTCTAGGGTCTGGGGCTAGGGTTTAGGGTTTAGGGTTTAGGGTTTAGGGTTTAGGGTCTAGGGTCTAGGGTCTAGGGTTTAGGGTTTAGGGTTTAGGGTTTAGGGTTTAGGGTTTAGGGTTTAGGTGGAGAGGGGCCAAGGGTTTAGGGTTTAGGGTGCAAGAAAGTGGAACCCACTCTTCTGCTCGCTGGAGAGACCATTGCCAATTGCCGCGTAGCTTGTGCTTCAAGCTCGGGGTGCTGCTCCCTTTGGAAAGTGGCACCCTAAACCCTAAAGCCTAAAACCCTAAACCCTAAACCCTAAACCCTAAACCCTAAACCCTAAACCCTAAACCCTAAACCCTGGCAAGCCGGGGACTGCTGGCCACGTGCCATTCACTGGGGGGTCTTCTCTTGCCATGGCATCTTCGAATCTGTTCATTTATCCCTAGGCTGTGGGAGAATGGGTTACTTCGTGGTTTCGGGTATAGGGCTAGGGTTTAGGGGTTTAGGGGTTTAGGGGTTTAGGGGTTTAGGGGTTTAGGGGTTTAGGGGTTTAGGGGGGTAGGGGTTTAGGGGTTTAGGGGTTTAGGGGTTTAGGGGTTTAGGGGTTTAGGGGTTTAGGGGTTTAGGGGTTTAGGGGTTTAGGGGTTTAGGGGTTTAGGGGTCGGTTTAGGGGTTGAGGGGTTGAGGGGTTGAGGGGTTTAGGGGTTGAGGGGTTTAGGGATTTAGGGGTTTAGGGGGTTTAGGGGTTTAGGGGTTGAGGGTTTTTTGGGTTCAGGGGCTTCTGGGTTTAGGTGTAGAGTTTTACGGGTTTATGGGTTTCTGATTAATGGGTTGATTGAGAAATTTGAGAGAACACACTCCTGATACTAGGAGCCTGTTTGGCTGAACAAGACACACATTTAGCTCATCCACAGGGTCTCAAGGTTGTGGCACCCTAAACCCTAAGCCTTCCCCAAGACCTGAACCTCAAAGCTAACACATCAGAAGCCTGTAAGCCCTCACCCCTATACCCGAAACCATAAGCCCTAATCCCTAAACCCTGAACCCTAAACCCGAAACCCTAATCCCTAAAACCTGCCTGAGGGGACTCTTGCGGGTCTTTGTAGTCCCACCCATCAATGTGAACCTGGGGATCCAAAGTTAGGTGCTTGGGGTTTAGGGCGTAGGGTTAGGGTTGAGGGTTGAGGGTTTAGGGTTTAGGGTTTAGGGTTGAGGGTTGAGGGTTGAGGGTTGAGGGTTTAGGGTTTAGGCTTGAGGGTTGAAGGGTACTAAGGGTTTAGGGTCCTTAGGGTTTAAAGTACTAAGGGTTTAGGGCACTGAGGGTTTAAGGGTACTAAGGGTGTTTAAGGGTACTAGAGCTTAAGGGTCCTACGGGTTTAAGGGTTTTAAGGGTTCTAGGGTACTAATAAGGGTTTAAGTGTACTAAGGGTTGAAGGGTCTTGAGGGTTTGAGGGTACCAAGGGTTTAAGGGTACCAAGGGTTTAAGGGTACTAAGGGTTTAAAGAGTAGTGAGGGTTTAAAGGGTACTAAGATGTACTAAGGGTTTAAAGGGTACCGAGGGTTTAGGGTTACGACCTGTAAAGATGGAGGGCCCTCGGCCAAGGAATGCCCAGGACTACACGCAGTGCGTCTAGGAAAATGTAGGGAAAGTGAGGCCTGCTTAACCTCTAAACCCGAAACCCTAGACCCTAAACCCTAAACCCTAAACCCTAAACCCTGAACCCAGACCCAACCCTAAACCCTAAACCCTAAACCCTGATCGCTGCCACCAAGCTGCGTTGGGACCCTGGCCGGGTGCTCGACCTGCCAACATGTGGGCGCTCGTCACGCGGGGTCCCTTTTTGAGGCCTAGCGGGGAACGGGTTTAGGGTTTAGGTGCTTTATGGGGGATCAGGGTTTAGGGTTTGGGGTTTGGAGTTTAGGGTTTAGGTGGCTTAGAGGGTTTAGGGTTTGGGCCGTTTAGGGGGGTTTAGGGTTAAGGGTTTCCTACTTTCAAGGCTCCGTACGAATAGTGGGAACCCCAGACTAAGTTTAAGTTATGTAGGTTCCTCAAGGGAGGGAGGGGCAGCAACCTCGCATGTCGTAATACCCCCGGTAGACGCCCAAGGGTTGGCTCAGTGCCTTACAAAGAATGTAAAGAAACCCTTCGACCTGCTACTTCGGGGCTGAGTTGTCTAGGGTTCAAGGCTTTGGGGCTTAGGGTGTAGGATCCCACTACTGGGATCCCACTGGGATCCCACATTACCATACGACTTCGAAAGTTAACTGCAAGGCAACCGCAGCGGAATTCGGGGGTCTCAGCCCTCACCCCTAAAGCCTAGTCCCTCCATATGACCGTTAAAGGGTTTGAAGCCTCCGGCGTTACGTTTGCCAGCCGCGAGTACCCTTACCAGGCCCAACACACTCTACCCTAGGCCCCGAGCCTGTAAACCCCTTGTCATCTCCCTAAGTAGATTTAGTTGAAAACGATCCCAAACACACATTCTAGTTGAACAAGCCCCGAGCCAAAAGTGACCCTCCCAAAAAACCTACAAGTCAGTGTAAGTTTCACACCCCCCCAAAAAAAAAACTTCAAAACTATAGGGTACAAACGACGCCAAAACTCACTCTAGGTTCCCTGCAACCTATGAAGCAGAAGCATGCGATTTGGTTGGGTCTAAAAAATGGGCTTTCCAAAATGTGGACCGAACCCTCGACAAGGGCAAAAAATGCCAGCTGCCTGGCCGACGGGCATGCTCTTGATCAGCAGAGTCGCCGCTCCCTTGGCCTAGAGGTTCGCGGATGCCATATCGGGGGCTTACGAACATAGGGGACCCCTTAAACAGACCCCCACAGAGCAGGGTCCTCTTGTGCTAAGAACCCCAATGAGGTACCCCAATTTCGGAAAGCCACATATCAGGGTTTAGGGTTTAGGGTTTAGGGTTTAGGGTTTAGGGTTTAGGGTTTAGGGTTTAGGGTTTAGGGTTTAGGGCCTAAAGCACTAGAAGTCCCTCAATGCCGACCTTTCTTTGGCCCTCCTAACTCCGACAACCAGCATCCCTGACTCTCTACCAGGCCCTCAACGCCCCCTCTAAACCCCGTTAAATGCCCTAAACCCTAAACCCTAAACCCTAAACCCTGAAGATCCTCTAGACACCCTACCAAGACCCCCCCGGCCTTCAGTTCAGGTTTGAGGTCAGCGGCTTTCGGGGGCCTTGGGGGGTTCAAGAGCTGAGGATGGTGGAGTGTCCTAAACCCTAAACCCTAAACCCTAAACCCCAAACCCCAGGGAACCAGTGCCTTCTGGCGCCAGTTGCGGCAGGTCCGGCAGGGGCGGCGCCGGAACCTCCAAGCTACACGGGGTGGGATCTTACCACGGGGCATTGTTATCCTTATTCTTCCTAATCTTATCGTGCTTTTGTTACTGTGCTTCAGGGTCTATGGATATAAGCGATTCACGGCTCGCAAGCCGTCAGTTCAACAAGTCAAGATCGCGGGTTTCGATTTTTCGGCCGGGGTCTTCAGGACGTGCGACTAGAGAGTAGCCTAGGAAATTACAGGGCCCCTTTTTGGCCGCGAACCTAAACCCTGAAAAGGGGAGAAACAAAGCCTTGGTAGGGACTATACTCGGGGGGGGGGGGTATTATGATCCCAACTAAGGAACTGGTAGGATGAAGGGGGGACATCCCAATGTATAGGGTGTCAGATGCGGGAGACAGGTCTCACAGCCTTTTTGCTGTCGTAGCCGCGGCTCGGGCCACTTGCCTGCGTCCGCAGACGCAACCACCATGAATGCGCTGGTAGCATTCCCACGTGCCAAAAACCGCTGCACCCTGCCCCCGCTATTGCACATTCTACTGCGGTACCGGGCTCCCTTAAAAACTTAGGTCTGGCCGCGCATGAATTGCTGTTCTTCTTCGAGCTCTTCATCCGTCATCGGGCGCCAGGGGCCTCCCTCGTAGTCCTGGATCTTTGGCCGCATGGCTTGCTGCAGCATCTCTTGCAGAGACCCATCCTGCATGCTACGCTGCAAGCCCTCCATGCGACGGGCCTTGGCGCCCTCGATTTTTCGGGCCACCTTGCTGTCGAAGTTGTCGCGGGACTGCTGATCAACTTCGAGGTGATCCAGGAGCAAGTTGGCGAAGTCCTTGAAGTCATGCCTGTACTGAACTAATTTGTTAATGCTGTTTCTTAGGAATTATAGTACCCAAAAAATAAAAATGTTTTGTTTCTTAGGAAATATAGTACCCAAAAATTAGAAATTATTTCCAAGTACCCCTAAGATGCTCCCAGTAGGAGAGCTCTTTGCCCTGCTTGACCCAGCCAGAGATATGATCGCACACGGCGAGGCCCTCGGCCCCATACAGCAGCCGAGCGAAGACCGGTGCTGGGATCTCAGAACGAGGCGGCAGTCCACGGATGGCCATCCCAAGTACGGCCGGGATCTTCTCCTATACTCCCCTTAGAACCTTAATAGCAATAATATTTTTAGTATCCTCTTGGCTTTATATGAACAAAAATTAAAAAAAGAATTCCCAAGGGGTGTAAAGTCTCATCTTGCAAGTCCACCCCATCCTTGGAAGTCTCGATGGGAATCTTGAACTTCGACTCCAAGCCACTGAACCTTACTTCTCCAATAACCAAGGGAAAAAAAGGTTAAACTTTATTATTCCTACTAAAGAAGGAAACCCAAAAAGTTCAGCTGTTGGAGAAGTAAGGAACATCTTTGCAGAAGCCTTTGGGGGCAGCATGCCGGCGTGACCGGCCCGGACGGCGACCTCCATGGCCACGATGGCACGGACGAAGGGGCAGGACTTGCAGGCCTCAGCGCGCTCCATCCCGGTCAGGATCATCTGCCAGTACGGCTTGCGCGCAGCGTTGAAGCTCTCGATGCTGCTGTACTTCTTGTCAAACTTGCGGTTGAAAACTTCCAAGAACTCGTCCGCACGCTTCAGCGATGGATGTGCCATTGCTTCTGGGTGCCCGACGCTGTAGCTGTGTTCCCGTGTTCCCCAAAACGCTACTGCTGAAATGCAGCTGACTGCTGCGACGTCTGCTGTTTCGGATACTGCTTTCCTGTGTTACACTGTTGACCTGCCTTGAGCACCGGTAAACGGAGATTCTGCATAGAGTTAGATGCTGCCCTTGTTCATGTTTTTCTTGTTTGGGGGGGGGGCGGGTGGAGGGCGGGCCATGATAATGGGTACCCTGAAGGCCAAGCCTATGGACCTAAAAACTAAGCCCTTAACCCTACTCTAAAGGAGATAATCCTTATAAGGGACCTTCGGAGGTCATTTAGAGGGTTATAGGGTTATACCTTAAACCCTAAACCCTAAACCCTAAACCCTAAACCCTAAACCCTAAACCCTAAACCCATACCGAAAACCCTCAACCCAGCCTTGCGCGCCGCCAGCGCTTCCTGGGTGGATGGAGTTGGGGGGCGGGCTTCTAGGACTTGCAGGGTTTGAGGGTTTAGGGTTTAGGGTTTAGGGTTTAGGGTTGAGGGGTTTAGGGTGGATGGGTTTGGGGTTGGCGGGTGTTTTTAGGGTTGAGGGTTTGGGGTTAAGGGTCCAGGGCTTAGGGTTTAGGAGGACTTCGGAAGATTTAAGGCGCGTTACTGGGCTTTTAAAACCGAGCCAGCTTTCTAAGGCCCCTAGCTTTCTCGGGTTTAGGGTTTAGGGTTTGCCGACGGCGCCCTGTACTCTATAATCTCACACAAAACCCAGCACCCTAAACCCCTCCTTGAGCAAGGCCAGGGTTTAGGGTTTAGGGTTTAGGGTTTAGGGTTTAGGGTTTAGGGTTTAGGGTTTCGGGTCTAACTTAAAGCTCGGGATGCGAAGGCCCATCAAAGCCTCTGCACCAAACCCTGTCACTGCACTACCGCCTTGGGGTACTTACCACCTCGTTGCCTAAAGGTTGATGCAATGCAGGCACCCCGAAACTTGACGTACTATGGCCTACGTATACTCACCCTCACCCCCACCCCACCACTACCCATACAAGCCCATAAACCCATACACGCACACAGCAGCTAACCTCCACAAACTCAGACGAGCAGCAAAGTCTATCTTGTTGAAGAAGTCGTGCTTCATGACTTCTGCCCTCGGCATCCAGGGTTTAGGGTCTGAGGGCTTGCAGAGTTTGAGCTCTATAGCTGTACACAGGGACTTCACTTGCGAGCCGGCTGACATCCGCGCCCCGGGGCACCAGCATCACTAAGCAAAGCATTTAAGATGCTTTGCCAGACTACCCAGTAACCTAGGAACCAGACCATCTTGCTTCATGAACCCGGAGCCTAGACTAAGCTCCAAGACGACTCAGGGCTGAGGAGTCAGGACACGTTGGGTTTCACGTTGGTCCACCAGGCGCCCTCATCCTGCGCAAGCCATGTAGGCTCCATTAGCCTTCAACGGAGGCCCAACGCGCTGTATTGCCCCTAAACCCTAAACCCGAAACGCCTAAACCCTAAATCCTAAACCCTAAACCCTAAACCCTAAATCCTAAACCCTAAACCCTAACTTACTAAACCCTGGGGGGCCGGGCGAAACCCCTAAGCCCTAAACCCTGGGGCGCCCGGCGTGTTTTTGGCCCCCAGCCGCAGCTCCGGCTCTCGCTCCATCGTCGCCGTGATGAGGGATCTCAGGCTTTTTCTCTGGGGGTTTAGGGTTTAGGGTTTAGGGTTTGGGGTTTAGGGTTATAGGGTTTTAGGGTTTTAGGGTTTTCGGGGTTTTCGGATTTAGGGTTTAGGGTTTAGGGATTAAGGTTTTCGGGTTTTCGGGTTTTAGGGTTTAGGGTTTTCGGGTTTTCGGGTTGTAGGATTTAGGGTTAGACCCCCAAGTAGTATGATCCCCTCATAGTAAGGACCCCAAAGGGTACCCCGATGTTCGGAAACCCACATATGGACTACAGGTCTTCCGGGGGTTCTTGAGGGTCTCAGGGTTTCGGGGGTTTAAGGGTTTGAGGCATTGAGGGTTTAACCGTGCCTTACTGGGGTCCGTCTTATTCAGGAATCGCACGATTAAGAGTTTAGGGCTTAAGGGCTTAGGGGCAAAGGGGTTTGAGGGTTTGAGAGCTTCAGGGTTTAAGGGTTTGAGGGTCTCGGGGTTTAAGGGTTTGAGGGTTTCAGGGGTTAAGGGTTCAAGGGTTTTTGGCTTCAGTGTTTTGAGTTGCTGATGTCGAACTTTGGGCTTCGGGTTGCCTAGGTCCAGGCTTGCAGCATTTTATCGGGCTCAGCAGGTCTATAGGCCTGTAGGCTTCAGGGCTACTAGGGCTTAAAGGGGCTTTGGGATGGAGGGGTTTAGGGTCGAGTAGACGGCTTGTATAAAGCTCATCTCTAAAACCCTAACCCCTAAAATCCCTATAAACCCTATGAACCCTGTAAACCCTTTAATGAACCCTATAAACCCTATAAACCCTATAAACCCTACAAACCCTATAACCCCTATAAACCCTGCAAACCCTATAAATCCCATAAACCCTATAAACCCTACAAACCCTACAAACCCTGTAAAGGCTATAAACCCTACCAACCCTATGAACCCTAAAAACCCCTAGAAGCCCTATAAACCCTGTATACCCTACAAACCGTATAAACCCTATCAACCCTATAAACCCTATGAAGCCCTAAACACTGCGGTTTTTGGGCTTCGGGGTTTCTGCCAGCGAGTCCCTCTCAGCCCGCAGCGCTGCCGCTGTCGGGAGGGAGCTGGGGAGTTCGAGGGGCTCAAACCTCGGCGGGTTTAGGGTTTCTTAGGGTTTAGTAAGGTTTAGAGTTTAGGGTTTAAGGTCTGTCTTTGTGCACACTACACATACAAACCCCCCCAAAACACCCTGAACTCTAAACTTAAAACCCTAAACCCTAAGCCCAAATTCAGGAGAATTTCCGGGTTTCGGGTCTGGGGAGATATTATGCAGGGTTTGTCTTAGGGCAGGAGGAAGTCGCCGAGCTGCGCGATGTTGTGGCGAAGTGTCTCCTTCCTTTGCGTGGGTTTAGGGATTATAGGGTTTAGGGTTTAGGGTTTAGGGTTTAGGGTTTAGGGTTTAGGGTTTAGGGTTTAGGGTTTCGGGTTTCGGGTTTGGGAGTGGGTTTCAGGGTTTGCCGGGGTTTAGGGAGGCCTTCATGCTTACTGAGACTGCGGGTCCAAGATCCTGTACCACTCCACATCCCCTAACCCCGCAAGGCCCACGACCTCCGACGCATTCTCACCCTGTTGGTTAGTAGGGAATGAGGGAATGAGGTACCCTATATAATCCCTTAAAGGGTATAATACAGGGGGATACATAATCCCTAAAGGGTATATGTAAGGGGATATAGGGTACCTCACTCCCTCATTCCCTACTAACCAACAGTGAGTTTTGCCGAGCCACTCCCTGTGGAAGAAGGGCGGCATTCCAGTGAGCATCGTGTACCTCCAGCACGGGCTGACCCTTCTAGACTCCAAACCCTAAACCCTAATAAGGTTCGGAAACCCTAAACCCTAAACCCTAAACCCTAAACCACCATATTGAGGCGCTCGCACCTTCAAATCTCAAAAGCCGTAGACTCCGCGAACTCTGGCAAGGCAGGAGCTCAGACTTCCGCAATTCAGGGTTTAGGGTTAAGGGTTTAGGGTTGAGGGTTGGGATGTTCCCTCTTATACTAACAGCTCCTTAGTAGGGATTATAGTAGGGAGGGGGTACCTATTATCCTCATTAAGGAGCTGCTAGTATAAGGGGGAACATCCCAGGCTGTCTTCGCCAGGGCTGCACGCAGTCTACCCTGAAAACTTACCGATTCTTGGGTCCCATGTAGCCTCTTAGAGGTACCAAGTTCTTTAACTTGTTTTCAGAACCAGTATGGCAAGGTCTGATCTGAGGTGGTTCACGATCTCTCAGGCTACACCGTGGCAACAAAAGCCCCGATGAACAGGGAAGGATGCTTGTGGGGGTGGAAGAACTGAAGCTTTAAGGTTTCGTGTACGTACGAGCTTGTATTTCGCTGAGCTGCACCAGGACCCCGAGATTGTAGATGTCCACCTCCAGGAATTCAGGGGGGGGGGGGGGTTTGGGGTTTGGGGTTTAGGGTGCAGGGTTTCGGGTTGAATTAGGGGGGCCTCTCTTCTTTCCGTTGAGATATGGCCGGGACGCTGAGGTCTCGAATAATGCTCAGGGCATCCCCCCAAAGGTCTGAAGAACTCAGGTAAGGCAAAAACCCCCCAACGCCTGTTCTACACCAGCGTCCTCTCGGAATGATGTTTGTAGAAGTGGATCCATTCTCAAGGGTTTAGGGTTTAGGGTTTAGCCACGAAAAGATTCCCTAAACCCTTGAGCCGCAAGGGCGCCCAAGCTACCCTGAACCCCACACACCCTAACGTACTTGCAAGAGCAAAAACATTGCCACAGTTTAGTACCGGATAGGATACATGCTAAGCCCTTAAGGGCCCTACAACGTTACACCCTACAAACCCTATAAAATCCTACAACACCCTACAAACCCCTATAAAACCATATTATGAAACCCGATAAACCCCATAAAACCCCTAGATAAGCACGATCAAAACCCTGCAAAACCCTGTAGCCCCTATAAATCCTAGTATGAACCGTGTATGCCCGGATGGCAGGGTTTACGTAGGGTTTAGGGTTTTAGAGTTTTAGGGTGAGGGTTTAGGGTTTAGGGTTTAGGGTTTAGGGTTTAGGGTTTAGGGTTTAGGGTTTAGGGTTTAGGGTTTAGGGTTTAGGGTTTAGGGTTTATGGTTTAGGGCTTAGGGCTTAGGGCCCAGGGCTGCAAGCAGGGAGCCGTCGTTCCGTGCATCTTGCCCAGGAGGATCTCCGGGGCGATGTACGCCACCTCTCAGCGCGGCAGAGGTTTTCTCGGTTCAAGGGGCCTGTATGCAAGGTTTGCAGGGTTTAGGGTTTAGGGTTTAGGGTTCAGGGTTCAAGGGGCCTTTATAAGGTTGAGAGGGCTTTGTAGGGTTTAGGGCTGTTGTAGGGT